CACTTCTTCCTGGAATCGGTAAATAAATACTCTATCACCATCTGGAATCAGAAGGGAAGGGCACGCTTATTTCATGGCCTGCGAGTTCTTCATGGACACTACAGGACAGCGTGCCGCATGGACATAAAAAAAAAACACCCTCAGGGCAAGGGAGACTCAAAAGGGATAGGTTGGGTCAGGGCCAAGAGAGACATTTCACATCGTGTCATTATGGACCGACGCCAGACAGCCTCCCTCCGAGTCAGCTGCTGAGTCCACCCTACCGCTCTCTGCCCCCATAAGCATTGACTTCAACCTTCCATCCAAAGATGACAGAGTTTTAAAAGGACTTCTAGCGCCCCTGAATCCAAATGCACCGTACTATGGCTCCCCCCCATCCTTAATTGCATTTTAGCCTTGAGGCTGTGTGGAAGCTGCAATATCTTACAAATTAGAACGAAGACTGAAATATTAATTCGACAGTAGTTTTCTGGTATCTCTGTACCGTCATTCAACCAGCGAAGTACCAGCGAAGTACCAGTGAATCTCTTCAGCTGACGTTAAATCGACTCGGAGGTACCACAGGTTCATGCTGTCAAATTTTTTTGTTCAATTTTTTTTTTGCAATCTGGATTCGCACAGATCTGCTCTGTCTATCCGGAAACAACTAAAAAAAAAATTAGCCCGTCAGGTAACCGAGTTTCGCTTACCAGCACCCTTTCAACCCTAAATGAGCAAGCATATTCAACACCACTCAGAATATACTAATTACGACCAATAATTACAACCCTAAGAAAGGCAGGCCATTGTTGCCTTCATTGTTGGAATCGGTCTAAGAGCTTTCATCACATTGTCGTTTTTTCAACGGTCAGTGTAATGTTAAATTTAAAGCTCTCGTTCAGTCATGTCCACCACGTAAATCCCTTTTGTTTTATGATTCTTATATGCCTCATTTGTCAAATATTTCTGCATTGAAAGGATATATCAAAACTGGAATTACTAAGGATTTAGTACCTGAGACCCGTATAGAAGGCACAAGACAAGATGAATCAATCAGAACCCATTTGTTCAATTCGGCTATATGTCGTGAATTGAAGTTCGGCTAAATAAATAACAAAAGGCGAATCCCAAACCACGGGGTACTTCAAAAATTTTATCTTAGACCGTTGTTAAGAAAACTTGGGAACCCAGAAATTTTGAGGAAGCAAAAGAGTGGGAGCAATTTCCGGAGTACTTACGCGCAGACGAAAGGGAATTGAGAGGAAACTCGAAAATGTTGCAGAACGGGATCGGAGTGGCTGAAATTGTATCCGCAAGGAATACGAAAACTCTTGAACTACATCAAGGACCGGTACGGGAATCCGGAAGTGATCATCACGGAGAACGGGAGCAGCGACCGGGCCGGGAACCTGGACGATGCCCTCAGGATCTACCAGCTCAAACATTACATCAACAACATCCTCAAAGGTTCCTTCGATCCATCCTTACAGGTGACCGACTTAACGCCGAATGTGAAAGAATGACGCTTGATTTCATTAGCCGTGCTGTTGGACGGATGCAACGTGATTGGATACACGGCTTGGTCGCTCATGGACAATCTGGAATGGATGGCTGGCTACTCGTAAGTATCTTGGAGGCGAGAGCGATTAGGACGGGCCGGGTGGGTGTTGATAATGCTTTTCTGTAGGGAGAAGTTTGGGCTGCATTTCGTGGACTTTGATGATCCTCAGAGACCCAGGACTCCGAAGGCCTCGTCTCGGTTCTTCAGACAACTCATCCGAGATAACGGGTTCATCGAGGAGAACCTGTGCGAATATTGAGGCTCTCGTCCAATAAAACGTTTCTGGGACCAAAACATCTTCCGATCACGTCGGATATGGTTGGTTGTGTTGACCAGAACAAGCGACAGGAGTGGAAGGCCTGTACTGATCATTCCATCCCATCCCCATCACATGCTTACATCCTCATTGGAATGCATACCCCTTTAGATACTTTTCCGTTCCAGCACCAGGCAATATTTCGAGGTTTTTTTTCGGGCAGAGAAGCGTAGGTATCAGCCACTTGCAGGATTTTTGTAGGAACGTCACGAAAATTGTCGTCTCTGATTCTTGTTGTCTGACGACTGTGGATGATAATCGTACAGATGGGAAATGGCTACCTGAAGCATACATTTCAGCCAAATGCATTCTGAATGGAAGCTAAATCAGCTTAGCTTTGTGGATTAATTATTGTTTCACTGAATTGGGGATTTTCCAGAGACAGGTACTTGAATTCGTGATTTCAGAAAGCATGGCTCCCCAGGTCCAAGTACCTTTCCAGTCTTCGTTTCCGTAAGAAACAATCATATGCGAGTAGGACAAAAAAGGATATGCATCACCAATAGGCGTTCTTGAAGAAATTGCTGCCTTGAAACCTCTCATGACTTGGACACAGATGCTGTGACTTATTCTCAAGATGCACAGCATCTCGACAACGAAACGTTGCCCCACGATTCAACCACAAAACCACACAATCTTCAATGCTCGTCCGAGAATTACCGTACACCCGCCGAGTCACCGGTATTCATTACTTCTCCAAGCCCCATCGTGTCGACGGGAAGGATTCACTCGGAACAGAGCTTCCACGCTCTCACGGTTCGACCAAGTAGAATCTCGCCTCTACGGCAATCACAATTTAAATTTAAATTGAAAAAAAGGAACGAAGATGGAGCTTTCCAGTTGTACAGCACGTGCCCTATTGTATCGCACCCGAGTAGCATTCCACCCATCTGTTCCTCCTATTTCATGTTATTTCGTTATGTGGTCGAGTGTTACATTCACTGCCCCTCTATAATATTAGGAGTATAGCTTGCGGTTAATAGCCGTCTAGTCGGTAGCAACCGATATCAGTAGTACCCTCTGTTTAACCGGTAACAAGGAACCAACTTCTTATTATCGATTATTTAGCTATTGAAAACAGGCGAACCATGCTTTTCTGAAATTCAGCCCAGATCTTTAATCGAAATTGGCTTGTCCAGATTGCACAGCTCTCTAGTAGGAGTAGGAGTCCGACCGCTGAAGAAATCAGACCGAAGAAGAAACCACGTAGAAAGGAACCATGTAGAAGAAGAAGAAACTATGTAGAGAGAGCTGCTCGGCCTTCCTCGCTCTGCACGAAACTGGCAGGACTGGTCCAACCCTTAGGACCCAAGATGACAAAGGCTTTGATCATAGCCTCCGATACAGACCACTCCTCCACCAATCAGAGGCGACCCCTCCCGGTCGCCATCCTCCGCCGCCTCTGATTGGACGATCAAATCGGTCACACGACTGGGATGGTCCAATGGGGGAATCCCCAAGAGCAGCGCGTCGTCCAGTCTTTCTTTGTCTGGAGCCATGAGGCTGGTCGGCGGCACGTTACTTTTGCGGTCGGTTTGGCTGGGCGCTCGAGTTCTTTTCGGATTCATCTAGCTAAGCCTACAGGACGCAACCGTTCTTAATTGTTGAAATGAGTAACGGCCTGAGTTGAAGTAAGTAAAGATCGGGAGTCTTGCAGCTATCGTCGTGACTTTGACAAATGGCATCGTACATTTGGATTATCTTTTCTGCTTTGCTCTTACTTCAGCAACTGGATGGAAATCATGATTGCTCCGAGGCTGTTGAGCGTTGACAGCTTCGCATTGAAAACATTTATAATTGAGAAAATCCCGAAATCCTCACTCGTGTGTTGTGAATGCCCGCAATTTTGTCATTGGCGAAAAATTCGGGATCTTGTAGAAATAACGTCTTTCATCGTTTCTCGATTTTTCCCCCACCTCAACTGCATTATTTTTATATTCCGCTTTCCGAGTTCTGTCGCGTCTATGAGAAGCTGAACACCTGAGCATCGCCTTATCTCGGGGGCTGGCTTATGCAGGGACATCAAGGCCAGTCTAGACCCCGAAATCATCGGCATTCGTCCCCTCCTCGGCAGAGTGCAACAAGTCCTTTCGACGCACCATCAAGGAAGCCATCCCCGGAAAAGTCCATATTTCCTTCTCACCCTTTTCATCTATTTATCGAATCGCCTATCAATTTTCCGCGGGCTACCACCACCGTGCTGCTGCTGGAATTTTTGGCTTCGGAAGCTAGGCATCGTCTCATTAATTTAGAGTTATTCTGCTGCAGGAGTTTTCCATGAACTCCATTTCAAAATATTGCGAAAGCCTTGCCCACCCTTCCAGCAAAACCTTCTCATTGCAAATCACCCATATCACTGCCGTATCGTTTACACCCAAGTACAAACTCAGGTGCAACTCAGGTACAAACTCCTTCCACGGACTTCTCTCCTCTTCTCCTCCCCTGGCGTCATCCCCCTCCGCCGCATCAAAACCACCCAACTTCTTTGGCAAACACACGCTGTCACGCATTCGTCGTAGGACTGCGTGAAAAGTCCTGGAAAACTAGGAGACCCTCATTGGTTCTCGCATCCGCGTCGCGTGGAGGATGTAGGATGCCAGATGTGGCATTTCGCTAGCTTGACCGGCAACCCTGTCTACGCTATCGCGAGCAGCCGCTTTCTTCGCTTATCAACTTTGGATCCGTCAGCTGCGAAGGCTGGAAGGGAACTGACGGCTTTAGTCGGTGACTTGACACCTAGCCCGGGCTGAAATCTGCGCATGCGCATCGAAAACACTGCTCTGGTTGCTATGGCAACTGCCGTCACTAAGGGAATGACTGGTAAGTATCACGATTGGAATTTCGTTTTCAGATGTGGAAGACGGGAGTGGCATATCTGGCTCTGCGCCTGGTGACGGCGGGTGCCCTGTACACGGACGAGCCCCTACTCTACGGCGTTTTCCCCGACAACTTCCGATGGGCAGCGGCCACTGCCGCGTTCCAGGTCGAAGGGGGATGGAACGAAGACGGTGAGGATTCAACGAGAGACCTTTTCCACCGGTTGAGGGGTAATGCGCATTGCCGGGAAAGGTACGAATGAAGAACCGTAGAACGCTGAAAAAAAATTTTTTACGCACGAAGCAGGCAAGTACGAATCGCACGGAGTTACGCTCGTTCAAGGAAACGGGGGCATCGCGTAAATTAATTGTCCTCGGCAGTTAACTATATAATAATATAATAACGCCCTGTCATCAACAGGTTCAACTGTCTATAGCAATGCGGCTACTAAAGGAGAACTCCCTTCTTTATTGCGTCTTTGGATGGTTTGTGCAGAATCCCTCGATGAACTGACGAGAGGGCGAATATTTCAAGACAAAGAAAACTGCATTCACAATTACTTTCGTCCGTAGAATGAGGATTGAGGAACGTTCGACTTGGCACCTGTAAGTTGAGAGTCTTTTTAGAGCAGAACTTTCTTCAATCAACGTAGTTCCGCCTTAAAAACGATAAATTCTTGTTTTTGAAAGCTTCTATATTCGGCCCTTTGTGAGATCGTGGGCGATTTTTAGGGATCAGTACAGGTCTGTCCTTGCGAGATGCGACGATTCGCACGATTTCGCAGTCGTGCTGTTTGGCATGGTGACTGAGGAAAGAAAATATTTTCGTCTCACCTTAAACATGGGCTCAATGGGAATCTTTCCGTGTTCGCTGGGTGAACGCTTCCCTCCCGCGCGGTCGCCATAACTTGGTCCCTACTAATTTTTGTAGTGGTCCCATGGGCCAGCGGCGTTTAAAATACCTACCATTAAGCAAAACATGTCCGCTTGACTTTCTCGCTGCGATTTATCAAGAGCGGACTTGGGAGGGGAGGGGGGGAATATGAATTCCATTTTTTATTTTTATTCAACTGTATTCTTGCATGAAGTGGAGCATTCTGATTGGCCGAAGCACGAAATGACACCTTCCGATCAAATTGTGGATTTGATTGCGATAGGAAAAGGAGAGAGCATTTGGGACACATTCCTTCATAACTGCGATTGGGACTGCGTGACCGGCGACGTCACCTGCGACTCCTACCACAAGTATCAGGAGGATGTCAGGCTCCTCGCCGAAATGGAGGTACCTCCTAGGCACGTCCTTATGCACCCGCGCGCGGGAGAATGCACATTCGGGGAAGCATGTCGTTGTCGCCTCAGCTTCGATACGTTTCATTGGGATACGCCGTTGGAGAAAATTCGAAATTCGGTCGCAAATCGTTTTTTCCGGTCGCTATTCTTGGTCCTATTTTTTTATGATCTGCGGTTGAACCTCTCACCTGAGAGGTTGCAGCTGTACGAGTATTAACGGCCAAATAGTATATTCACTGGCATTGTTACCAAATGCCATGCTACGACGGTATCTGGTCTGATCTCATCCTTAACCCGAAAACGTTTAATGTACGGGCGAAGTAACAATGGATTTTAAAAAATTATTTCAATCATGCCACACTCATGCACACCTATTTTCTTTGCTGTGTTCCAGTTGAGTAAATTTAGCCATTGGTCAATTTAGAAAAAAAAGACCATTTTCTAAAGGAGGGAACCGACACAGTTGAAGTACTAGGACATCACCAGCGATGTAGCAATACCATTTTCGTTATTGAGCTATTTTGCTATCAATATACTGATTCAGTTATGATGGCAAGATTCCCGATTCTTAAGGTGGACCGGTATAGGTTCTCGATTTCGTGGCCTCGGATCCTCCCGGATGGCACGACGGCCAACATCAATCAGGCTGGGATCAATTACTACAACAACCTCATCGATGCTCTCCTTGCCAACGACATTGAACCGATGGTATGTGCACCGAACTTATACGTTCCCTGCAGTTCTTCCCAGTTTTAGTGCGGATTTCGATGTTCGATAAATAACGGATATTTAAAACAGTGCCTCGTCTTTAGTTGTCCATCCAAATGTGTTTTTCCCAATATAAATTCGGTTTCCTCATTTTAATCGACCGCATTCACGTGACCATTCCGTGAATGTATCAATAATATCCGCTGATCAGACTTGCGAATCACAAAAGAAACTGAGCTTATCCCACGAAGGTCTTCATTGCACGGGGAAGAGAGACGCTCGGGCCACCCTTCATGCAATGAAGGCCTTGGCAACGTAACGTAACGTGACGAAGGCCCCACCGCACTCAGCAATTTGTTGCACCTCGGCAGTTCCACGATCCCAACAGCTGATTCCGACACAAGCACGAGCCACCGTCGAGCGAAGTCGCATACTTCAGTGCGGACGGCTGGAGTGGCAATACTTTCCTGCTCCGCCGTGGGAAACTGAGAAAGAGCGTCTCGCATCAGTTTCCGATGGAGTGCCTGTCTGACATGAATCTTTCCGGATGATGGCGTGTTCACTTTGCGGGTTCATCTGCTCCCGCTTGCTCCCCGAATTTTCACATCCTCTCTTTTAAGAAGAGTCCATTAAGCAAGCTGGAGGATTCGAATAAACACACGAAGGAAACCTATTGGATGAAGAGGCCACGGGAATAGATGGAAGCGTACTATTTTGAAACGCAATAACGAATTACAACCCCCTCGAAATGCATGCTTGGATATTGACTATTCTGCACTACGATCCTTATGCTATGCAGCAGAAGCTTGTCTCATACTGTCTATCGCAGCTTTTCCCATATATAAGACACCGGAAAATCGCCAAAGTCTATCAATGTCCATGTGAATGATTACTAATGACATTGATTGACAGGAAAAACATCTGGATGTGTCTGGAATAGGTGACTCTGTATCACTGGGACCTGCCCCAAGCCCTCGAGGACAGGGGAGGCTGGCTGAACCCCGAGAGCCAAGACTGGTTCGTGGACTACGCTCGAGTCTGCTTCGAGGCATTCGGGGACCGAGCGAAGCTCTGGATCACCTTCAACGAACCCTGGGTGATTGCGTGGCTGGGATACGGCACCGGGACTGGCGCTCCGGGGCACAGTGATGCGCCGGGGGAGAAACCTTACCAAGTTGGTCGTAACCTCCTACTGGCTCATGCAAAGACTCATCGGATGTATCAGGAGGAGTTCTTCGCTTCCCAAGGGGGTACGTCTGGCGTCTAAGACGTGAGAATTAGCACTAGGGCAGTATCATAAGAATATCAAGAAGGAGATGGACAGCTAGTATTCTTAGCACATTACGCACCAAACATTTTACCGCGTCGATCCGCCGCTCTGGCCTAAGCCTCAGTTACAATGGCCTAAAGCTCGACACATACAAGGCTGTGACTTTTTTTCTGCCATGGGCTAGGCAAAATGACTCGCGAAAGGACTCAAAAACGGAGATCTCCGTGAGCGGTACGCAAAGAGTTAAGAGGGAAGGTGGAATGCAAGGAAAGCTTATCATGCAAATCCTGCATTATCAGCAAATCGGTCTATTGTTTCTGTGAAGAGTCACGTTAAGTTCATCCCAAGCACAGCATGCGGGATGAACCCACTCTGCGAGAGAAGTTGCGTAGGAGACGATATAGCAGACTTGGGCTTTCCTCTGCGAGATCTGATTTCGCATTGTAATATTTTGGCGTTAATTTATTGCTGGGTGTCACCTCAAATCTAAATATGCAGAGCCTGAACCTTCGTCTGCAACCTGCGCGTCAACGAAGATGTGGGAATGGAACCATAGAGTGCCATGATGTCATATTGTGACAGGTCGAGTGGGCATCACTCTGAACACAGGCCAGAACGGTCCATTGAACCCAGAAAACCCGGAGGATGTGGCGGCGGCAGCCCGTCGGATGGAATTCGACCTGGGATGGTTCGCCGATCCGGTCTACTTCGGCAACTATCCGCAAATGATGATCGACAAGGTCAAATATCTATATAGGGCTAACACTATTTCTCTTCGACTGGGAATCCCTATCATGAGCTAAATAATGACAGTTAAGAGATACATAGTAGCGTTTTACTAACATATTTTTGTTAAATTATGATAGGCAATGGAATGTGATATAGGGTAAACACCCCAGTTTTTGGCCACGTTGATATGACTTCCATAGGAAGTGGACGCCCTGTGCGCACACAGGGAAACTCTAGTAATAGGTCCTCGTACGGGAAGATGTTGATAGAATGCTTGAAAACGGCCAGATGTACTAATTATGCTCAATTTAAGCCTCACTGGTCAACAACTGGAGACCGGTCAAACACCGGGGTGCTTACCCTATATGTAATTTACTTATTGTACAGTGATTTTTCCTGGAATGAAAATATCTCGGAATGTTTCAAACTCTTGAATGCATAATCTCTACTATTGACAGCAAAAAATTGCCAGAACAAGACACACCTTTACATACCTTTACCTACTTGGGGCAAACATTTTCCGGTACTTGCTAGCAACTTAACTGAGAAGATATTCAGTTGCTTCACTCAGATGTAACACTCCCAGGTTAGAAAAAGTTTTGCCTTCGTAAATACATGAAAAATACCAATCGTTCTGCATCGGCGCGGGGACATCAAAACATGTCAAAATTGTGCTTGAATTACAATAGCTCAAGATTTGACAACAGATTAGCCTATAGGACATTGCTCACGCTATGTTCTGCTTGTCGTACGTAGATTGGAGAGAAAAGCGAGGCTCAAGGGTTTCCGGAATCCCGTCTCCCTGTCTTCAGTGCTGAAGAACAGGAGATCCTTGCCGGCAGCTCCGACTTCTTCGGCCTAAATGCCTACACGTCCACATATGTAACCAATTACATAAATGACATAGATTGTGTCAGTTTTGAATGCGATACGGATACACAATTATCTTCGGATCCTTCCTGGTATGGGTGAGTACAGGAGCTCAATCTGTGATTGTAGCTGTATCGACTTTGATAAAGTTTAACTTAATAATGTTAAATATTAATATAAACTCAAATGGCGAATATACAAGTTCATATCAAAAGCGGTAGCATATTTCTTCAAAATATTTAAGAGCAAATTCACTATGATTACAAAGAGCTAATTACATTTCAAGGGATATATTGATCAGTTCAAACACCACAATAGACTTTCGTCGAAGGGAAGACTTAATAATGTTGCAGAACGGGAACGGATTGGTTGAAGTTGTACCCGCAGGGACTTAGGAAGCTCTTGAACTACATCAAAGACAGATATGGAAATCCGGAAGTGATCATCACGGAGAACGGATGCAGTGACAGAGCGGGGAACTTAGATGATGCCCTCAGGATCTATCAGCTCAAACATTACATCAACAACATCCTCAAAGGTTCCTTCAATCGATCCTGCATCCATAATTTAATTTTCAAGAAAAATGACTGACTTTTGCTTTTACCAGCCGTACGGTTGGATGGGTGCAACGTGACTGGATACACGGCCTGGTCGTTCATGGACAACTTGGAATGGGGCGGCGGCTACTCGTGAGTGCTGGTGGAGGTCAGACGGGTGAGAGTGGGAAGTCGGAGGTGGGTCTGCTTTTCTTGCAGGCAGAAGTTTGGGCTGCACTTTGTGGACTTTGATGATCCTGAGAGACCGAGGACGCCGAAGGCCTCGTCTCGATTCTTCAGACAACTCATCCGAGATAATGGATTCATCCAGGAAAATCTTTGTGAATATTAAGGCTCGTCCCAATAAACTCTCCATCGGATTGAATCATTAATCGCAGCATTAATCAATTTTCAATCGCAATTAATACGATTGAATTGCTGCTATCATGGCTACAGAATATAAATCTTCGAAAGGCATTCAGTTTAGTCAACTCTAGTTAATCTGAACGCCTTTAATCCGGATCTCCGGGTAATTCAGACACAAGAAATGTTCCCGGATGAAGTCCCATAGAACCTAAATAAAACTCTCCGGTGGTCGCAGTTTCGTAGTTTCCGTTAATACGGATGAGTTTCTCAATCCCTGGGCCATTCTCCCACGTTGATCCGGACTTTATACTAAAAAAGCATAAAAAATGTTTCTGTCCTCTTCCCACGTCTTCACTCTTCCTCTCGCCCTCGGAATAAGAAACGCTGTAACACACGCAGCCTTCGATGAGGGTCTTGAAGGGGGTGTCCCATATTACGTCGAGAAGATGCAAAAATCCACCACTTCCGGCGAATCCAAAGATTCTTATACATCCGTCGAATGCAGTTCATGCTTCCGCGTTTACTATTCTGTAAAATAGGGAATCCTCACAGGCCACCCCTCATTAGCGACGCCCAAATTTCCCGCTGATAAATGCATACAAACGGAGATACCTGTACTTTCTCAAAAAGTTGAGCTCCCAGCTCAGTTTCTCTTCATGTCGCATGCTACATATCTACCGGCTGAGGCTACAGGAGAGATCATGAATGAACTCGTGGATATTAATGCCTCTGGGTCACCATTTTGACTGCTGTTCTCTTCAAACAGTTATGCCTCGGAAAGTAATGAAATGCTGGAGTTTGGAATCTCCGGGAAATATGTGAAAAACAATTTTGAAAGGAGTGACTGAAACTTCTTATTTCTATAGGGGATGCTTGGATATTAGCAACTTAAATAATTAATCAAATCGTCTGGTCAAGTGCTGTTGGGAGGGTGCAACATGACTGGACACACGGCCTTCACGGAAAACCTGGAATGGGGCGGCGGCTACTCGTAAGTGGAGGTCGGACGGGTGAGAGTGGGAAGTCGGAGTGGGAAGGGTCTGCTTTCCTACAGGCAGGAGTTTGGGCTGCACTTTGTGGACGTGGATGATCCTGAGAGACCGAGGACGCCGAAGGCCTCGTCTCGATTCTTCAGACAGCTCATCCGAGATAATGGATTCATCCAGGAAAATATTTGTGAATGTTAAGGCCAAGTCAAATAAAGGCTTAGGTTGAGTCATCATTCTCTTTATCCAGGAACACGCCAGCGACATTAATAATTTTTGAATCGGAATTATTGCAATTCAATCGTGCATTACTGCTATGAAGCTTACAGAATTTTGATGCCCGAAAGCCTTTTAGTTCAGAATTTTGTGAACATGATTTTACTCCCCACCGGTAATTGGAACGTGAATTTCCAGATCCAACTTGACTTGGCATCAGGACTTGACTAGGATGGCTAGGCATCATCTAAAGTATATTGGTATATCTCGGACTTTTTTTCGAATGAAAATGAACAGAAAGCCACAAGCCGCGACATGCATTATTTTTTAAACCACAAAATAACGGAGAAAGGAATATGGCATGAAAAAGCAAATGAAAACGGATATGTGAGTCTGTTTCTCCTTCACGGTTCCGAAAAGGTCAGAATGTGACTCAAGTCATGGGAAGCTCATGTCTTCAACTGGTCGGTATTCTTCGTCTAGGTTGAAATATACAGGACATATTCAGGATAGATTTCTTGCTCGTGGTACTTGACGAAAATGCGGGGAAAGACGACGTTGTCAACAGTTGTTTCGTATCCGTTTGGAGGCATCGACATTTGTGGACGTCCGGGAGCGCACTTCCCTACCAAAACTCTCGCTAGAAGTATGCATCTCTCGAGATGTGGAGGGGAAGGTGGGGCGTAACTAAGGGATGCCAGGGGATCATTGGCTAAGTACGTTCCCTGCCCGTATGCCAGGGCACCGGTGCTTCTTTGATGTCGCCAATCCAGATTTTTGGCGCAAATATTCGAGACGTTCTCGCGTCTTGTGCCGTGCCATAGGTACCTCTCGTTCAAGCTCTCCAGATCCCGATTCAGCCGCTTGAGGAAGAACTCCCGTCGATTCTGATACATCTCCCACAAGTACGGATTCTGCACCCTCTCGATGCGGTGGACGTTGAGGCTGAGATGCTGACGAAGGTACCCGGCCACCCTCTGGTACTCAGCGGAGGATTCATCTACTTTGACCATTTTCACCGACTCGTCGTCGGCCATCGGCTCCCAGTGACTGGGGAAATGAGGACGGGCTCTCTCGGGATTCTTCTCCACGTCGTACTGTGGAGGGTGAACTCCAGGTATCTTGATATCGATATTGCTGGGTAAAGCGGTTCCCTCCTGAAAATCGTGCAAAGTTTTAGTAAAACACGAAAACCTTTTCATTAATCAATATTTATCCCGTTAATTTGTAATTGGGTAGCTAGGATGCTTAACATGCATCAACTTCTTTGATGCATGGTTTGATGCATGCATCAATGAAGTTGATGCATGGTCTGATGCATGCATCCACATCAGTCATCATCTACCAAACATTTTAGAAACTTGTTCATCTTGCTCCAGAGATCTCATCTTGAAGTTGCCTTGCAGTTAGATTCTCAACAACGGCCCTTCAGAGAAGCGGCTTGAGGGAAAGAGGAAATGAAATAGCTCAAGTAGCACCAGAACGTTTAATGAATGTTCAATGAACGTCTTCGGGAACGTTCCTGGGGTGATCAAATATCCGGAATTTAGAACGATAAAATACAATTCAAATTATGCCTTCCTGAGAGTTTATATTCAATCCAACACTTAAGTTGCATGTTCCCAAATTGCTTCGATAGGATTCGGAATGTCCTGAAAACCAATGGTTTTGTCATTTTCCTTTTTTAAGTACGAGAAAACAAAAGGGGAATTCAAGCATTTGAAGTATTCGTAAAATACCCTGAGCCTTTGCACAGCTGCTTAAATCCATCATCGATATGTGAATGTCTCAGCGGTTTCTCACTGTCTCAATGAGAAAGGCCCGGCCTTGGAATCTTTGCAGTGGGATGAATTTGGGAAATATGGCAAGCGCTGCGAATATCCGCCCTGGGTGTAATCTCGGCACGGGTAGAGAAGTATTCTCTGATGGTGCGATGAATTTCACCAGCATTTGCTTGGAACAGCCATATTTGCTATTGTAGTTTTCTCCGAGAGGCTGCCTTCTTTAAGCGCAATCCGAAAATCCTGCGAAATCTTGTGATCTTGCTAATCGTTTGCACATTCCGTTCTTCTCTTTCGTACGAGGTATCGTTTTATTAGGTCACTGCATTCTTTTTGAGCCCGATATGAATGACAGGAATACATTGGTGTGCCGAGATCGCCAACACCTGACCCAACTTCAGAGTAAAGCACTTCGAGGTGCACAGCAAAAGGAGGCTCATCGCAAACGTCGACCCGACCCAACGCGAACGAGGAAACTCCGTTATGAAAAAAAAACCGCCAGGCAAGGCGGACGAGGAAAATTTGCCCAGAGTGCCAAAAATTCCCAGTACAAGAAAGCGAATAGAACAACTCTCTCGCTTCAGTGTAAAATATATATAATTAAAAATGAAGGAAGGCAGTGTAAAGACGATTGGCAGGACTCCGCAAATCTATTAACAATTCCTGGGGAAAATATTTCCTCGCTAACCCATGGTGTTTTCTTAAAAAAAAACATCTTGCCATCCACCAGGAAAGCTTTTTGAGCGTAACTGACCTGGCTGTTAGCTGGTTGAAGCTGCATTCCTGGGTGAAGGTGCATTCCTGGTTGGTATTGTAGTGGTGGTTGGAAGAAACGATTAATACGGTGGCGTAAGGAAGGGTTCGCGGATCCTCCTGCCCATGCGTGTTGGATCCGAGGATAATTTCCGTGATTCAACATATTTTCCGTCAAGACCTAGCAAGGAAATATGTTTCGCAGTGGTCCTCGTTGAATTTCAATTTTTTTTTTTGCCTTTGCTGCAGGGGTAAATTCAAGGAGTTGCTGGTAACTTGAAACCCGGGCTTCTACCAGAAATTACATTAGGTAATTTTAATTGGTCTTAATTTTACTTTTCACGAACTCAGAACTCGAATTATTTAGCTGCGAAGTCTGATCTTGGAGCAATTTCATTTCGAGTCCGACATCTCTTGACTTCCGAAAAACCTGCCAGCATATCGGACACAGAGGCGAAAAAAAAAACTAAGACCGCGGATTTCACATATCCACTGCTTTCGAAGAGTAACATCAACATTTCGAAGAGTAACAAGCAGAATATGAGACGATGAGAAAACACACCATGAGAGATGCGTCAGAGCCGTTGCAGTGGTCGCATATCATCCGCAGATAGGATCGCTCGCAATCGGGAAAAATTCCCTCCAGCATGTCCATCTGCTCCTCCTTTTTCAGATTCTGCTCACCGGGGACGCAAAAAAGAGGATTGGATGAAGATGGACTCATTAGTTGGAAATGGACACCGAAGGTTTTCTTGGGGCGGGGGGGGGGCGTTAGGTACTTAGAAATTCAAAGGAAAATCCGAGAACATTCGACAATATCGGCAGGTGCGCTGCACCGTAGCAATTGTTGACCAGTATTTTCTTTTCGATGGAAATATGTAAATGCACTGATTCTTAGAGGAATGTGGTTTATCGGAGTTGCAATACGATGGAATCTGGCCTGTTCCTGGGCGAGAGCAACATTTTGGAGGTTAAATTCTTCAGAAAGCACTACCGACGAACCACAGAGAAAAAAAAAGCGGAGAACTGACCAGGTCTTCCGCTGATGGACGCGGCTTCTTCGAAGGGACCGGCTCTACCGTCTGGGGAATGAGAACAGCGAAATTCCACGGGTGTAATCAAAATCTAACTTTTGTTATTGACTGATTAAAATTGGCTTGAGGAAAATATGGAATCTTGGAGAATCGTAATGTCGGCTGTATGAAGTAATTTTAAAAAAAATTTGATTTCCGAATCGCTTTCGTTTCTGTCCGCTGATCGACATGGAACGACACTTGAAAATCGTATGGAAAATAATGCCCAGGACTCCAGCTTATTCGCTGAGTCGTTGAAACCTTGCGGGAATGCCATCAAGTAAATTCGCGGCTCATATTTGGAGAAATTTTTGGGGTTCCTGTTAGTGTTCTTGGTAAAAATGCTCCTGACGTGGTTATTTCAATGCTCTGTGACAATAACTAGTGGGTTTTTCCATTATTTTTCACAGAGATGCATGACCATGGGACTATCGAAAGTGCAAATCCCCATCGAAATTTCGAAAAACCTGAAAATGTGAAACATTCGAAGTGTCATGCCAGCGTTCGTCACTTTCACCCACATTTGGTACTAAGAATAATGTCCAGATTTATCCTATAATAAATTCTCTATGCGCCATCAGACACCCGAAATCCAAATGTGACCCAAACGAAGGATTATCTTAATGGAAATATGGTGAATTCCTCTTTCGTTCTTCGTGAGAAAAAGCTTCAAGTTATATGTTTTTGTATGACAGCCGAAAAGCTGTCCTTCAGGGGGTCTTGTATCCGTTTTTTTCGAAGGTTCTCTTAAATTCGTGTCTTTAGCTCTCGCCAGTCAGTGATAAACAGCCCCAAAAGCGATCGGAATACTTTCTGTAGCCCTACTGCTCCGACCTATTCTGGCATGGTATGGTAACTAGCGTAGCTTTTCGAAAACACCTCGAACGGGATGTCCGTCATGTATGTAACGTAGATTGCGCTGTGTTCGATGACTTAAGGTGTAATTTGGATACGTTTTCTTTCATCTGCTGTATCCTCTATGTATGATTGTGGCTATGCTACGAAGTTGGGAATAAGGGAATGGCGTTCTTTCAATGCATTCTTTGCCGGATTTCTCCGAAGTTGGGGCGGTATTCTGGTGAATTTAATTTTAATTGTTTTGCTAAAACGTAGTTCATTCACACTATCGAGGGTTTTATTTTTATCTGCTATTTTATTCCATGGTATTTCTTTCGCGCCTTATCCTTGTAAGACCCAACTTTTTGCAATAGGACGCGCCAATGGCAAACTCATTTCGCAGATGTTTATTCCATTCTGAAGGATTTTTATTTACTCGCGAGAAATCTCTCAAGTTCATATAGATTAGTAACCAATTATCTTTCTCAGAAAATGTGCATCTGGCCTTCAAAGATTCAATTTTTGAAGGTTTCCATAATGAACCAATTTCCTTTCTATGGTCAAAGTTGTTTCGGATATGAATGAACGAGATGCTGATAAGATAAATAGTTTTAGCTTAATTTTTTTTTATACCTCCTCCTTCTTATCCTCGATGTCCAACAGTACTTTTTCCAATGTACGTTTAGGCAGACTTGGGATTGGAATTTCTTCCTTCTTTATCTTCCTCATGTATGCATCTGGCTGATGGATGGCTTCTTGGCACAACTGGAAAATAAAATGTTATCGCATTTTTGGCACAAGTGCTCACCGAGATTCAGATGTGGCTCCTTACCTCAGCCATTCGTTCGTAGTAGGACTTCATGTCCTGTAATTCCTTTAAACGGTCTTCACATCCATTCCAGAACGAGGCCTTACTCTCACCCGGTCCATTTCCTTTCGCATCCATTCTGCAAAAGGGGAAGAATAAAGAGGGATGTCCCTGCAAGGAGGACTCCTTCGCATGCCCATCAATGTTGGCATCCCAGGCTCCAATGGGTGGGCAACTACACCCCACGTCGGAATGTCACTTTCTACAATCCTTCTGGTCTGTGGTTTTCAACCTTCTCAACGAGTCTTTCAATATACTCTACCGTGGTCTCTGTTGTCCTACCAAGACTAATGAAAATGCCTACAAAATTATTTCATCATTAAATTAACAATAAAATATTGAAGTTGTGAACTATGCTTGCCTACAAATTTTTAAATTTTACAAATGTTTGCTATTCTCTCGATTTCCTCTGCGTGGCAGTGACAAGGTAAAAGTAGTAGTCCTGGTACATGTTCCAGCAGTTAAAAATCATACCTAGGAAATCACCAGTTGAGAAAGAAAGTATCCCAAAAGAGAATACTTTGTTGTAACGATGCCCACAATGCCTGAATAACGCTTTCGGCGCATTCAATTCCATTAGGTTTCTTTACTAAACAAGAAGTTTCCCTACCCAGATAGCTAAAGGGAGAGAACCTACGGATGAACTCCTGATACTCTCGAGAGTAGGAAAGGCGGAAATCGGGTTGATATTTAAATATGTCAAGTGCAAAAGATGCATGCACGTGAATATTTTTTATCATTCTGAAGGGCATTGCTTTCTTTGACATTTTCATCTCCATATTCACATGGATGTTGAGGCGAAATATTATGCACTGTAGTAAATTTAAAGCGCATTTGTTAAAGTCACATTATTGATCTGAAGCAGATGTAGAATGGTAGATTAAAAAATCATTGTATTGAGTTTTCAAACTTCTGTCTAAGCCCCCCATTCAAAGTTTTAGGTTCCTCGCTTCCAAGGGCAACGCGGAAAAGGAGGGGCAATAAGGGGCAATAAGTTCCAGGAACACTCATGTCCCTCCGAGATCACTTGCCTGAGGAAAATGTTTGTAATAGCATTTGAAAGATTTCAATGTGCCTTTGCTTTTACATTAGAATTTTTAAATTGACTTCTCTCGTAGATATAACCTTCGGGAATAACCCATGTAAAAAAACAGAGAAAACCTGCCATTTTTATCGCATGTCCTCCGGACGAACCTAAGAGAGGGAGAGATATCCCCTGAGCATAGATTTCTTGTCTCCTTCCGGGAGCCGCGCCCCTACCCATTAATGCCACTTAAATCTTCCATGTATTCTCCGTCAGATGTCTAACGTACCCAAGAGCATGTGTGCGTATGTGAGAATCAAATACCAACCCATGTCGGATGGCTAATTCTACCTGGGTAAGAAACCACCAGGTATACAGATTTTAATGCTCAAATGGTACAGTGAAAGGAACATACGAGAAGAAATTTACGTGGACTTAGCTGAAGCTCAGAACGTGAAGCAGACACGTACGCACAAAGTAACCATCATTCACAAGTGATGTCACAATGGATCGAGATAAGGAAGGGAGAAGTAGAGGATATGACGTGGCTGATAAGGAAATGTCCAATGCCGCTTTCTCACGTACTCATGCGGATGCGAAACCTACGGTGATGGAAACTGAAGTTCAACCAACAGGGCCGGGGAACGACCCTTTGGTATCGCGGATGGAGGTACTTGAGGAAAGGATGACTTTACCATGCAGTCCTGCCTCTTTCATTGCGATTTTGAGACGCCAGAAGCCCATTCAGACATTTGCCGTCAGCTTGGTTGTCATTGATGAGTTCAAGGGTCAGAGAATTACGTTGCCATTTAGCCTCACCATAGCTTATGTCCTGAGTCATCGATAACAGGATGCCGGTGTGAAATTTGCGTGCGCTGAAACCACTACCATAGTAAAAATGGTGACCGCCGATTCACTACCATAGTAAAAATGGTGACCGCCGATTCACTACCATAGTAAAAATGGTGACCGACGATTCACTACCGTAGTAAAATCCGCGTACGCAGGACTCACTATTGTCACGCGAAAATGACTCCTGTAAACTCACTATGTTCATAATGGGCTGTACGTTCGTTGCATCATCTCCTTTCCAGCCATGCCTCCAGGGTCTGGTTAGGAGATTACCAATTCCCTGAAACCTTGACCTGACCTGTTAGATACTTATCGGTACAGGAATTGAAGCATAAAAGGACGGGGGTAGCACAGTTCACCAGTTCTGTGGTTTCCTCGTGAAATATACTTGTCTCTGAAGAAATGGCCGATTATAGTTACGAATCAATCGAAACATATCTTATTCATGGGTAGTGCCCCTCATCCGTGAAGAACAACCCTGCAGCTGAGTCCAACCTAAGGCGAAAAGCACAGAGTTTCTGCCTGATTGGTGGAGTGTTGCATAAGAAGGGGAAGGTCAGCGGTGGAGGTGAGTGCTTTTCCCATTGCCGTCAAGCACACGGCAGCAATTTGAAGCACTGGTATGGAAGGTGTGAAGATGCGAGTGCATCGCCTATCCGAGTGCGAGTAACAAAATGTGAATATCAGCCTCCAGTGTAATACCAATTGAAAAAATTAATGAACTTAGCTGATGTCACAGAAATAAAATATGCGAAAATGCATTTGTTCAGAGAGGAGTTATTTTTGCGTGGAAGTAGTAACATTCGCATACACTGATATAACTACCATAGTAGAATGGGCGGACGCAAAAACCACTATGGTAGTAAAGTCTGCTGCGAAAAATTGACTACGGTAGTCACGATTGCGTATGCAAAAAGCACTACCGTAGTCGGTTTTGACATGAGTAAGATTCGCGTACTACACCGGCCCTAAATTCAATCTTTCTGAAATAGTGTCCCCTCCTTCCTGCTTTTAGTTTCCATTTCTATATACTCGCATACATGCGAAACCGCCCACGTCAGTGCGACGACACAATCCAGCCCTATCAGCTTCCAATGCTGTTTCTGAGATTGATTGACTACATTTATGCATCTATTCTTTCCAAGTTGTCAAACTTTTGATGTAATCTCGCATTAGTAACACGCGAAATTTCCTGAAACACATGAAGATGCGCGCAAACTTTCTCTATAAACGGTGGGGTTTTGGTTAATTGCAATGTCTCTTACAGTATCCCCAAAGCAAGACAAGAGAAGCTATGCGTCGAGTTCAAACTCATGAATGAACTCTTAAAAAAAAAAGAGATAGGCTTCAGAAAGAAAATAACTGCCGAAACACCTGTTTCGAAACTCCACATCTTTCTATTCCTCTCTCAGAGCATTTTAGCATTTTGAGGCAATAGATATGGCATGCTTCCAACCCTCAGAAAAAATCTCTACCATAAATTAGAAGCTTCGTCTCCCCTCAGTTGCAAAGAACCTTTTTATTTTTTTTACTGCGTTCGCTACAATTTTCACGGGTACAATTTGCGACTGCCTTAATTTCGGGACGCTAGTAGATAAAGGTTTAACCATGTTGCAGAATGGGAACAAAATGGTTGAAGTTGTACCCGCAAGGACTTAGGAAACCCTTGAACTACATGAAAGACAGATACGTTAATCCGGAAGTGATCATCACGAAGAATGGGAGCAGTGACCGAGCCGGGAACTTACATGATGCCCTCAGGATCAATCAACTGTAACATTACGTCAATAATATCCTCAAAGGTTCTTTCAATCGATCCTCGATCCACTATTTACTTTCTCTTGAGAAACCAAAAGCGATATTTACCTCAACCCAACCGCGTCAAACGACCTACTGGTAGGTCGCGACTCATGTCCATCCGCCAAGCCTATGGCCTAGAAAGGCATAGGTTTGTAGGCCTCGTGCGTCTGGCTATGGCAGCATAATTCTAGGCCAGATAGGCCGAAAAGTCGCTTGATGCGGATGGGTGCAACGTGACTGGATACACGGCCTGGTCGCTCATCTACAACCTGGGAAGTACTGGTAGGTCAGACGCGTGAGAATAGGAAGTCGGAATTGGAAGGTCTGCTTTTCTTACAGGCAGAAGTTTGGGCTGCACTTTGAAGACTTGGACGATCCCGAGAGACTGAGGATCGCGGAAGCCTTGTCTCAATTCTTCAGACAACTCATCCGAGATAATGGATTCATCCAGGGAAACCTTTGTGAACAGTAAGATTCTTTCCAATAAACTCTTCATCATATCGAATAATTTTTCTCTTTGCGCACCATTCTAGGAATACGTGAGCGACATTAATCACTTTGACAATCGGAGTTAATTAACATTAGAAACATGGTTTTCCGACACGAATGAAGGAAAGGATCGTTTGCTTAAACGTCGGATTTTAAATGTATGTCCCTAAGCCGTAATGTCTTGTGAAAAAGAAGGCGGAAGCTACACAAGGAAGACAAAGTTAAATTTCCAAAGAAAAGAAGTAAATATTTTCCGAGCATTCTGGGGAATCCAGGTTTACATGCCCTTACAACGGTTTGAAGAGCCTAATGGATGATGAGTAAAATCACAATGAAACTCACATCCCATGTGGAATGCGAGGGCCTCAAAAAGATGACAATCGAAGGAAGTACTACTCCCTGGAGTACTTCCAGTCAGACCGCAAGAGACTCGATGGCAGGGGATTTGGGGCTGACAAATTACCTACAAATATAGAATCCCAATCGAAACCTCCTTTAATGTCCTGCTCCACATCGGGATTTGACATTGGTCCAACGTGCAAATCAACGTTGGTCCCTCGTAGATTAGAGGTTTGAGGTAGGTAAAATCCTTGAAAATTGGTTTTCACATTATTACATCATATCTTCAATCACATCCGAACCTCCCCGGGAGGAAACAGACGCATGCTCCACAATCAACGAAAAATTATCTATTTTACCCTCCCGATATCGAGTGAAGCCCCAATTTGAATCATCCTTTTTCCACGGTTAAGAAAAAGTCTGTTTGGACTGCTGAACCTGTGTAAACAAATGAACTGAGAAATTCGAGTGTCCTCCTTTACGTTCTCTATGAAAATGGATCAAGTACCGCAAGAAAGGTACTGGGGTCTTAAAGTAATGAATCACTCCCTGATCCCACTGATATAGTGGCTACATACCCGCCATTTCGCTTATTCTGTGAGAAGCTTTTTGTTCAAATAATTGCGATAGATGTCTCATTCCGAAACATGACAGATGTTGGCTGGCGCCCTAGCGCAAATGTTGGCCCTACATGGCCAACCCACTGCCATGTAGGCCCAAGCCCCCCACTTGCAACGAATGTTAGCTCAACGTTGTGTGCTGCCGAGGTTAAAGGATATATTGTGAAGGGCTGGGTCTTATTACCCCAATAGCCATACTACCTCACGTTAGCCTATCGTGCGAGCCCCAATCCCGCCCCCATGATTGACAGATATCGTATCGCAGCTACGTCGGATTCATTACTGCTTCTTTTTTGTATTTATGCTTTTTTTTGCGTATGATATTTGTATTTGTATGTGTGCCGTGGTGAGACGGAAAGTAGTTCGCGGTCACCGATCTACGTGGTGGGATATGGAGATTCTGTGTACGGAAATCCGTGAAGGGACAGGATGACATCCATCACGTGCTCGGATTTCTGAGCCAGTATATCCACTGAGCTCCTCAAGATGGTTCCAGATAGGGATATCATTACACGTCTTCTTGGAATGGTTCGTTAAATTCGGAATCGAGGCCAATAGCAAAGGTGTAGCTAGCATTTCGCCAAAGGGGGGGCTAGAACCACACTTGGGGGCTGAAGCACTCCCCCCCCAGCCCCTTCTCACTGTGCCACTGGCCCTTAATCGGCATAACATTAGGAAGGACAAGTCTCCAAGACCATGATATTGACCCTCATAGGCCCAATTGCATCTATTTTGAGAAATATTATTGGGAGGTCATATTCTCACAAATGCAAATACTTAATCACAAGAGCATCAATGAGCATCAACATAGCACAAATCGATATCGCCAAATAAAGTGATAAAGGTCACCGTAATTGCCCGAAACACTGACAAATCAGAATTCTCACTGGGAATGATTGCATGTAAGAAAGAAAGATAAATAAAATATGTATTCGTCAGAAAACCCTGACTAGTACTTGGCAATTATCTTAGTTCAATTGTGTTTGAGATGTAATTTTCAATGTTAGGGGTCAGAAACTGAAGATGCAGTTTCAGATCACTGGTGTTCTAAGAGAGTCTCTCACCGTTCCTAAGACTTTATTCGGGACCTCTCAAGGCCGTGAATGATTAACAATTTGCGTACCGCTTACGGAGATTTTCGTTTTTTTTAGTCCTTTCGCCTAGCCTATGGCCGAAAAAGTAATAACCTTGTAGGCATCGAGCTTTAGGCTATGGTAAACGAGGCATAGGTCTGAGCGGCGGGTCGACGCGGTAAAATTTCCTGTACGCAATGTGTAAGGAAAACGGAATGACTCGAGGGAAACCTTCTATCTCTTCTGTCATGAGATCATTTACTTGGACCCGTCTGCCGCATGACATCCGAGAGACTCTCAAATAAACGTTCCCAATCCAGCATGGCGAAACATCAGTCGGCGGGTCCCCTGGAAAGGATGCTGGGTGGATAGTATCTAGTGGTGGGTCTGTCCAAGTGGGAAATCAGCAATTGATTTCATTCACGAAGGACATTTAACTTCATTACAAATGACAAATCATATAATAAAGGCTGCAACATTTACCAATCGGTAGATACTAAAAATTCCGTCCCTCTAAGTCCTGCATTCATTTATTAGAAGTCTATCGGCGTAAGAAAGGTCACGAAACCCAAGCTTGAGTGACCCTGTTTTTTGCGATACGAGGTCTGATCAAAAAGTTCTAGTACTCGTTAAAAAATAAACCGCTTTAGATAGGGGGCTAGGACTAGTGTAGGTGGGGCGACACAGGTATTTTTTTTTAGCCAAAAACTCTCTAATTGTGAGAGCAGTGTGGACTGGAGCATTGTCTTGAGGAAAAAACCAGGCTTAATTTTGGAAAAGTTGAGGCCTTTTAAGGGGGCTAGGACTAGTGTAGGTGGGAGTGGGGGGGGGGGGGGGGGGGGGGTAACCGCACGCATGGTGAAACCTCCTTTGCGCTAGGATTAACCAGTCGCGAACCACGAGTGTTGAAATCCGGTCGTCTCTGTGCTCTTCATCGAATTTTCGATCATGCATCACGATCCTGATGCATCATGAGTTTGTCCCACAGTTAACCAAGCTTACTGCAAATATGTTTTGACCCGTCTACGAGAAAAAATTTGAAGAAAAGGCCTCAACTTTTCCAAAATTAAGCCTGGTTTTTTCCTCAAGACAATGCTCCAGTCCACACTGCTCTCACAATTAGAGAGTTTTTGGCTAAAAAAAAATACCTGTGTCGCCCCACCATCCCTATTCACCGGACCTGGCTCCGTGTGACTTTTTGATGTTCTCCAAGATTAAATTTCACGTGTAATGAAAAAGGTTTGAAGGCATTGCAAGCATGAAGGAAAATGCGACGAGACATCTTAAGTGTCTTACACTTCCAGCACTGCGTCCATAAGTTGGAGGAGCTTTGGGATAAGTGCATAGCATCGAGGGGGAATTCTTTGAAGGGGACAACAGTTAATTTTAATGCACTAATTCAAAATAAAGTTTACGAATAAAAGTACTGGAACTTTTTAATCAGACCTCGTATATGGTAGGTAATAACGTTAGCATTGTGTTCATTCTATTCATGAAACATAAGTCTGAAATTAGAGAGTCACTCAATAATTACAGTATTCGGAGAAGAAACAGGCAACTTTGCGATCGTGTCGGATGTGACAGAGATGTCGCATATTAAATGTTTTGAAAGTTCATTTGAAAATGAAATGTTCAAATAATTATTCATATTTCCAGTTCGGGATGTCTTTAGAATGTGAAAAATACAAATTCTCTTCAAAACCGAGCTTAATCACTCACACGGGAGAATGAATGCTGCCAATTCGAAAGGTCATGCATAGAGTTTCCAGATTTGTAATTTCATCACATCAATACGTATCAAGTGATTGTACTAATCCTATTTAAAATATTATTGGTAGCTTCATTCTGTTCTGTATTACTCATTCATAACTTTAGGGATAATGAACGCTTCCAAAAAAAAGATGCAATGTCCACAAATTCAGTGGGATTGCATGACGTATGTCGCTTAAACCACTTTGCTTGGAGAGATCAAAAGGCACAAGGCATTGCAACGGCATGAAATGTAGAAGGGGAATTGCAACATAAGGGAAAACGAAGAACACAGATGAGAAACCAGTTTCTGGCAGTGGCAATGCGATTCAAGTCATGGAAAACGCATGTCTTCACTTCAAATGGTTGAGTTCTTCGCTCTGCCACACGCAACTGTGTTGTAAAATTGAGGACTCATTCAGGATAGATTTCTTGATCGTGGTACTTCACGAATATACTGGGGCAGCCGCCTTTATCAACTCTTGTGTCGCAGCCATTTGGAGGCATCGTAATTAAGGCATGTACTGCAGTGCATTTCCCGACCAAAACTCTCGCTAGAAGGAAGCATCTCCCCTCACGATGTGAAGCTGAAGGTGGGGCATATTTAAGAGAAACATAAGGAGCTTAAGATAGGTATGTTCCTTGTCCGTATGTCTGGCCACCGCTGCTTTCATGATATCGCCAACCCAGGTTACTGGCACAAAAATCCTGAACTTTCTTGCGTATTGTGCCATGATATGGGTACGTCTCATTCAACAGATCACGATCACCGTGGCGCTTGACGAAGAGTTCCCAGCGATTCTGGTACATCTCCCATAAGTACGGATTCTGGACCCTCTCGATTCGATGGAATTCGAGTTTTCGGGAAAGGTACCCGGTCTTGTACTCATCGGAGGACTCATCCAGAGCGATCATCGTCACCAGTTTGTCGAGTGGCATCGGCTCCCAGTGACTGGGGAATCGAGGATGAGCCTTCTTGGGATCTTTCGAAATTTAACTCAGGGGTGAATTCCAGGTAAAGTTATGTCCTCGGGCATGGCAGTTGTGGCCTGAAAATTAAGCGAAATGTAAGGACAACATGAAGATCTTTTCATTAGGAAATTTAAATCTCATTAGAATGTTGCCTCTCGTTTTGCTAAAACAAGTCAATATTTTTTTAACCAAAAAACAAAAACCAAAATTCGAACTTTTTGATTGAGTTTGTCAAGAGCAGTATGCCCTCTTTGCAAACAATTTTATTTAAATGTATATTATAGTGCGATAGAACAATATCTGGAGAAAAATTAGATAAGAAAAGTGAAAATTATACGTGAAGATATTAAAAAAATCCTACTTCGTCTCACTGATCAATTTCCAATTCATTCCATTACTGCCGATGGCTTGCTTCCGTTTAATGTTACTACTATTCCATAGCACGGATGGAATTACACTTAGTTGTATTCTTTGGTTGCTATTTTTATTCAGCTTAAGGCACAACTTTGGTGATTTTCAAATCGAACGTGATAGTTGAATTATCATATTAGCCAATATTTTCTAGACATTATATATCAGGGTTCCTTTTTACTACAATACAAATGGGACTCTTTGGGTTGAATGTTGAAATCACTAATCAACTCCTAAATCGTTTAGCTCATTTTTGGTGGGTCTTCAAATGTACTGTACCATTCTTTTAAAGACAAATCCCACCAGGATTTAGCAGTTCACTCTCAATATATATGGGATATATCATGAAATGCACGGCGGGAAATTATTTTACTGTATTAAAAATGAAAACCGTGCTTCTTTGCAGATATTCCCTTTAAAAATTTCTGCCAATGCAGTGAGAACTCGGGATTATTGCTTTTTTGTCCTGCAGCAGCTTTGACTTTCCATTGTTCCCAAATCCGACGGACAGGAAAAAAAGAAATACTAATAGGTCGAGACACCTTGTTGCCTCCGCCCTCTCAAGTATTGATTAGATGGAGATGATGGTCTCCTATTTCTTACGTGCTGAATTGAAACTACGAGATTTTGCCGAAAAAAAATTTCACTCAACCATTCTGAATTTTTTTATAACCTTCATTCCGACCATCGCCGAACTGTGTTAGAGCAGTAAGTCGAATTGCCTTCAAAACAATTCATTTTGTATCTTTGCTTTTTTAAAATCAAGCATGAATGAATATTTCCATTATTCCTTGTAGAGCATTCGCGTAACCTTAGCAACATTTTTAACGGGTTGGGAGAAAGGAGGAAAATGTGAATATCTCAGTGGTTTCTCATTGTCCCAACATGTATTCACTAAGGATCTTGCATATGGCAGATAAGTTTAAGATTGGGAAATGGGATAAGAACAAACTGAATTATTCTAGTCACAGGAAGAACTGACCTCGCTTTTGAGTAGTTGTTTCTTTCGTGAATGCAACCAAAATGCGCTCCCGAAACCGAACGGTTAACCACCGCGGAACTGGAAAAGGGATGGAGCAAAATAAAGAGACAATATTAACGAGCGGGCTTCATGGAGATGATGAAAATGAAAATGAATTATGATCATAAATCATAAAAGGAGAAAATTTACAAATGATAGGTTTCCACAAATCTGTAGAAAATTTCATGGAAAATTTATTAGGTCGTTACAAATGAAATGTCGGAATTTGGACGGAAACTTCAAACAACCGAAACACAGTGCAAAATACACTTCTTTAATCAAAATAAGCGCCAACAGCAGCAACACACTTCTGTCAACGTGACACTAGCCTGTGTTTGCCGTCGTGGAAAAATTCGTGGCTCCGGGACTCGACAAACTCCTGGAAGGCGATTTCAACTGAAGATTGATTACGAAACTTTTTCCCCTTTAGAAAGGTGTCCAGGTGCTCGAAGTGATAGTCCGTAGGGGACAGATCAGGTGAATAAGGCGGATGAGGTAGGGTTTCGTACCCCAACTGGTGCTACTTCTGGATCGCCACCCGTGCGACGTGGGGTCTGGCGTTATCGTGGAGAAGTACGGGCCCATGTCGATTGACTATTGCCGGCTGTTTGGTGGACAGTTTTTGATGCATATTGTCAAGTTCATGACGATGCCTGTCTGCCGTAATGGTTTCGCCCGGTTGTAAGAAGAAGTAGTGAATCATTCCGGCTGCGGACCACCAAACACTGGCCATCACCTTCCTGGGATGGAGAACTGGCTTCAGGATGTGTTTCGGTGCCTCGCCGTGGTCAAGCCATTTTGCCGAACGTCGGCGATCGTCATAGAGGGTCCACTTTTCATCGCATGTGACAATGCGCCCCCAAAAATGGGTTCTTCTGGTTGTGGGTAAGTAGAGAAGAGCAGACGTCAAATGGTCGTGTTTTGTGCCGTTCCGCCGGCTCGTGTGGGACTCATTTATCCAGCTATCTCACTTTACCTATGGCCGCCAAATGTCGGGAAATGGTCGAGTAGTGTACTCCGAGTTTCTCACAAAGCTCTCGTATCGTTTGACGTGTATCGGATTCAATTAAGGCCTCCAACTTTTCATCATCAACTTTCGATCTACCGCGAGGTTCATTTTCGAGGCTCATATCGCCGGACCGGAATTTTGCAAACCAATGTTGTGTCGTGCGTTCATTAGCTGTGTCGTCACCAAATGCTTTGTTGATATTCCGAGTTGCCGCCGCTGCGTTACGACCCAGCTTGAGCTCATAGAGGACAATAACACGAAAGTCTCTCGTATTCATGGTTCGTCCCTACCCGTACACAATACTGTACACGGGCGATGCAACATTGGAGACACTACATTTTACCTTGCCTTAACCTACAAGACACGTCCAACTCCTTATGGTAGTTTCACACCGATCACTTGCCAACACAAACACAAATCCGACATTTCATCCGCAACAACCTGATACATCTCTAACCTGCGGCAGTGTTTCTCTTAACCACTGAAGTATTTTTACCGTAATATAAAACGTGTGTGGAATGTTTTGCTATGGTACATTTTATACATCTGTGCACATATTTAAACATCCCATCTAAAAGTAATTAATGGAATTCGAACACATCTACTGAAATTGAAACACTTAAGGAGTCATTAAAAGCAAATCAATCTTGCCACCCACCAAGGATAGTTCTAAACTGACCTGGCTATATGGCGATACATGCTGTATTCTTGGTCGATATGATGATGGAAATTCAAAATGAACAGGAGGCGCTTTATATGAGTCTAACACTATATTTTTTGGCTGCGCGTGATGTGTGCGAGGATAATTTCCATGATTGAGCATATCATCCACCAAAACCTGGGGGAAAAATCTATAATATATTACGGTGCTCTTCATTATATTTCACAGTGTAACGATTCCCTTGTGTTACATATGGGAATGTCAACAAATTGTTTCAATTTTACAAAAAGATTTTCTTGTATGAATTATTTTTACTTTAAAATGATTCTTTTCCCTCTTTTTTGAACTCAGAATTCGAGTTAATCTAATGTTGCAGTTTTTCCCTCGACTCTGAGATTTCTTGACATCGGAAACACTTGAAAACGTGTTGGATGTAGGAGCAACAATGAGAGAAAGCCGAGATGAGAACACACCATTAGAGTTGTAGCACAGCCGTTGCATTCGTCGCATTTCCTTCTCAGGTATGATCGTTCGCATTCAGGAAAAATGTCTATCAAGATTTCCAGTTGCTCCATCCTTTCCCAAATCTGTTAAGGGGGAAGAAAATGAGGCTCAGTTGGAGCTATTCTGTTGGGAATCTACAGGTGTATGAAAAGCCGTTACATATTTTAAAATTGTAATGGCTTTTAGAATTATCTGACTAGATTAATGATTTCGTGGCAAAAGAAACAGAATTTAATACGGTTTTATGACGATTCCTCTTTTTTCGTTTGCATAAGCAAAACTGGTGAACTGACCGAGTTATCCGTTGATAAACGCAGCTTCTCTGAACAAACAAGATCTGGAATCTGAAAATATGAGAAGTAAAATGCATGCGCGTCATCAAATAAACCAGTGGTGCCCAACCAGTGGCCCATAAGGCCCTATTCCACAATGAAGAGTTTCAGGTTCCCGCAAAATAGTCTCTTACTATAAAAGTAACTTAATATGGCCAAATATAGTTATGTGAGTAAGCTATGCGGCCCAATAGCCGAAAATATTGGGCCCCACTAAAGTAAACAAATTAACCCTCATCGTGCGGGCTTTTAAAATATTTGACTCCCAAGACGGTCGGAATTTGAATGGGCCATTTAATCCCCAAGGCGTTCAGCATTACATGAAATTATTGAGTCATTTTTTAAGCTAGTATAATAAGAAGAAAACCAAATTGAAGAATATAAATTGGTATAGCTGTTGGCAATTTTCTATAATTTTCACACACGTGGATTCACAACGCACTTGAAAAAGTATGTAAATACACTAAAAGATAACCGTTTTGGTAACCTGTGTTGACGTCACATAACCTTCATCTCTTCATATATACTTCCCCTAATCAGTTCCCAGTAACGAATACAAAGGAATGGACGAAAGTTGGTTTGAATAAAAAACAGGCGATACCAAAACTATACGGGCTTTCAGTGGTACAACATGTGTCCCACTCGGTCATAGAGAAAAACATATTGCGGGCCAGCGTATGTCTCTCTCGTCTGATAATGGTTCAACAACTGGCTGATGGACGCTCCCTTGAAAGAGATAAGAGAACACAAAGAATCATAGCCGTAATGGCCATTGCCCTGCTACCAATCAGTTGGGCACATGCCCTTCTTCGTATTTTTTTTGGGCAACGATGCATGAGGTATGCATCGTTGATGGTGGTGCATACGTTACGATGATTCAAAAGCATCATCGTGAGAGACTTTGTATCCCCAAAAATGGACAGTTCGAAAAACAAGCGGGGAACTTCGACTCAGAGAGGCACAACTCCAACTATTGGCGAATGAGACATTCTTCTTGTCTGTTTCATACCTGTTTCCAAACGTGGTAAAATAGAGGAATTTGGTAAAAACGTAGAGAGAAAAATTTCCTGGAAATCTGATTCAGTTTTTCTAAATTCTCGTAAACGTTGCGTGCATGCACTCAATTCCTGAAACTGATTCCTTCAGTTTCAGGTTATTCCCCCCAAGACCGTGGATTCCTTCAAGCACGACACCAGTCCTATTGTTGGATTTCATTTTTGGCGTTATGAAGTGTTTCCCTTATGCATCGGTTACCCCTACCTAAAACCACTCTTTATCCAAATAGTACTGCCAGGAAGAAAAGCGAGTCGAAATTGGGCCAAGTTATGAAAATAACATCTTGCCAGTCTCATTAAAGACTCAGGAGTTCTCATAAGTTCTCACTATTTTCTCATGAAAACTTCGAATTTCTCATGAAGTTCATGAGGATCCTATGAGGCGAGTTTCGCATGAGAAAGATTTGAAATCTGAGGAGCCCTCTGTTGGAAAACCTCATGAGGATCTCATGAAATTGCCTGTGCTGACGTGGTAAAAGATATACACTCATACAGTAAGTTCTTCAAAATATTTATGAATTTTGGCATTGTCTTTTACCGCTTCTTTCCTTTCTTTCTTGTCCCTTAGTACTTCTTCCAATGTTCGCTTGGGCTGAATAGGGATTGCATTTTCTTCCTTCACTTTCTTCTTCATATATGCATGTGGCTCATGGATGGCTTCTTTGCACATCTGAAAAAAGTTAATTACAATTTTGACACCAGTAATCATCTTCAGAGAGATGAAACTATTTACCTCAGCCATTCGTTCATAGTAGGACTTCATGTCCTGTACTTCATTCAAGAGATTCTCACATCCAATCCAGAATGAGGCTTCATTCTCACGTGGTGCATCTTCATTTACGTCCATTCTACAAAAGGAAAGGGAGTTGCAGTGCCTTCCAGAATGACTACTGCGTTTGGCTGCCAATATTGTCATCCCGTGCGCAATAGGGTAATCGATCCATTGCTCGTAAAACCGATTTATAAATATTGATATTATTTGTTTGAAATTTTTCATTTGCTCCCGCCTATTAGTGACATTAAACCAGAAGTACCGGTCTGGTACGAATTGAAAGACAGTTTAAAATTATATCAATGGTCCCACGTGTAGGCTGGCTATCTCTAGCGAGAAAATGAGGCACCCAAAATAGCAACGCTGCAATGTGTGGACCATAGGGCTAGAGCCACTGGATCCAAGGTCCAGATATTGCATAAACATAACACGTTCGCTATATTCGAGTCCATTTGGCTTTACAAGTTTCACTCAAAATACATAACACAGGGTGACCCACAAGTCCTGGCATTCATGTAGATTAGCACGTTTATTCCACAATATTAATGAAAAATAAACTTTTTATAATAAAAATTATAATAATATCATAAGATCATCAATGTGCTCCTGAAGAAAAACTTGTATATTTCAGACAAGTTTGTCCTGACACAAGAAGATTTTGAAAGCATGTGCCAGGACTTTTGTTCAGCCTTTAAGTTTTATTAAGAAGCAACTCAGCCTACAGGATTTAAAGCTCCAATAGAACAGTCAGAAGAACATTACATGAAAACTTCACGTGGACTTCTCTGACGCTCAAAACAGGGATCACCTACGGGGATCCGAAGCACGCGGATCCGAAGCACCTACCATAAACGATAGACAACATAACGAAGGTAGAGAAAAAAGGCAGAACTAGAGGATATGACGTGGCCGACATGGAGATAAGAATGTCTCCTATCGCTTTTTTTCTACACATGTTCATGCGCCGAGGCCTGCGAAAGTTACGAGAATGACAGCTGGAGTTCCACCATGTACAAGGTGTTCCGAAAGTTTCTGACCCACTAAAATGAAGAAGGAGACGAGATTGACGGGAATGCAGTATATAGTCTTAATTATATTCCACATGGCCGAGAATACCCAAGGTATTCTCTTACATCAATACTTGATATGATATCCGCGGACCCGAAAGAAACCTCGCATCAACGTCCCAAATCTCTCAACCAACCGACGGATGGCGCTCGTCACGTTTGTTTCTCACCCCACTTAGAACCCCGGTAATGACTGAAGCCTGACGCAGAGTACTCTACTGGAACCTGTGTCATAGGTGTTCCGGATGCTGAGGTCCGGACATTTCCTTGGTTAATTTTTCTAGATCCGTACCATAGTCTTTTGAATGGCACGGAACGTAAAGCAAGCCTCTGAGGCATGGGTCTCCGTCCTGCATCTGCACAGCCTTTTCTTGGTCTGAACAGATCGTCCAGATCTTCATGTTGCCCGTGGAGATAAGGAGAAAGTTTTCACTGTAGCTGGCATAGCATTTAGCCACATCTCGTGTGGGTGGGTCAAAAACTTTCGGAACACCCTGTGCATCATGCTTTCAAACTGATCACTATTGATAGTAATGCTAATCCTCGCTTGAGCGTAAAATAGATATACTCAATACAAAAGTCTTGTTCGTGGTACTCCACAAATACTTTGAACGAAAGGTACTTATGGCATGGCACAAGTCGAGAGAACATCCTGGAAATTTGCGAAAGGAATCTCGATTGGAGACGTCACGGAATGAACGTCAGACATATATTTGGACAAGGCACATACTTCACCATGATGCCCTTGATGTTGCCATTTGCGCCCCATCCTCATCTTTCCATCACTACGAGAGATGCATGCTCCTCATGCGAGTATTGGTGGGAAAATGCGCCCATGGAACTTCCTCAATGACCGTGCCTCCTGATGGTTTCGAAACAACTGTTGACTATGTCCGCTCTCCGAAAGCAGACTCGATGGCGAGCACCCCTTTCTGACGCAGGGACAGTGGCGTAGCCAAGGAGTTTGGATCAAGACAACCCCAACCCTGGTCAAAATACATCCGCCAACCCCCTTCCTCCATCAGGCAAGGAAATGCAAGGGAAGTTCAAGTCCCTCCACTGTTCCGTTTAGCCTCCCCATTGGTGAAATCCTGGCTATGCCACTGCGCAAAGATGACAGTGATTCTTCAAGGTTAAATATACAGTTCTGCAGAAATTTTCGGTTACTATTGGCAGCCTATTTTCCGGAAAAAGCACATCGAATGGTACAACTTTATTGTGAAAAGATTGGCGCCAGCAAAGTTCTTTTGGATTCTGAGTGCTTCGGCGATTGTCTAAAAGCTTAACAATGCAAAGGCAAACGGTAGGAAATTCGTAAAATTCATACCAAAGTAACAATTAAGTTGGGGGAAACGGTTGGCTGTGTTCTGTTCGTCGGAAGCGTTCAACTTCTTCCAGGTGAGACTCCTAGCGTTTATGCATAAGTTTATGAAGCGATTACATATTTAAAAATCATTTTCAACCAATATACTATACTACATGAACAGGACATGCGGACCAATTGTAATAATTATCATGAATATTTCTTTAAGTCCTTTTCAGTAACAGAATTCCCAGACTATCTAGACTAAAATGTTGTCCTTTCTACGAAGGGCTGGTCAAAGAGTTCCCGGAAAAAGTGACTTCTTATTGTCAAATCCCCATGATTTTTTCACTGCGTATCCTTATGTATCTTAGTAGTTCTCCATTTTAATTTCAGATCCTTGCGTTAAAATGGAGACTCGCAAGCGCGCGCGAAGTGAAACGAGTCAGAGGGTCTTGCCACCCTTGACGAGCGGTGACAAATGCGGAGCAATTTTGGTGCTGTTTCGGTTGGGAAATTCGGCGGCAATGTGTTTCGAAACCCTTCAAAAGGCACTTGCGGACCAAGCTCAATCCCAGAGCACTGTCTATGAGTGGTTTGCTTGCTTTCGATCTGGCTCCTTCAGCCTCGACGACGATCCCCGTGAAGGTGGTCCAAATTTCACTGTCACTCCGGAAAACATTGTCTAGGAGTCGCTTCATGCTGGCAAAGACCGGCAGATCACCACCAGGGAACTAGAGAAGCTCGTTGGGGTGTCGCATGGCTCGGTCATCAAGATCCAGCACGAACACCTTGGAATGAGGAAGGTCTGTGCTCGTTGGGTTCCGCACCAGCTGAAACCGGATCACGTGAAAGCTCGTGTTAAAGGGATAAACCAAAAAATACCATCATCCCAAAAAAACTTGCTGAACGAGCGAAGAGAAGACAGCGAAGAGTCCTGAGCTGATTACTGCTCACCTTCTCTTCGTACGCCTATCGTTTACGGGCGATAAGCATCGTCCTTCCTCCCACCTTCATCTTTCCGTATTAGACATTCGGAAACTGATTTCGCTCTTTCTTTGAGAGTTGATATCCCCGACCATCCATTTCTGTATAATTTTGATTGATTAATAGTGTACTATCTTGGTCACACAGAGGCGTGGTTTCCCTGCCGTTTATCCCTTCGGTGATACAGATTGCTGTAACCTATAGGGATAGAGAGTATAACTAGAGGCGAAACTCCGTAAGAATTCCATTAATTGGCAGGGTCGGAATATAAATGTCATTGTCGACCCTTCAATAGCGTGGACACATCAGCAACTTCTCTATGGCCGAGCAGCCGACTCAACGAGATACGCGTGTTACGTTGAGGGATCCCTTTGGGTCGAATCCCTGAACGAGTCGATTCCCGATTTCGCTGCCACGAAGCACGCCTCATGGAAGTGTTATAGAGACATCTAGTGGCTTGTTTTCAACATTTCGACCCCCCCCCATCCCTCGGGGTGTCGTCTCTAATTATGCTCTCTCTACTCCATGCTATAGGAACGTGCCGCCGAACCTCGAAGCCCCACCCTGGACACGGCTGAGATCTTCCTCGTTTAACATCCCGCTGTTCCTTTTATTGAATAAATCCAGACTTGAATCAGCCCTGGGATATCATGTTGTGATTACCACCACCAGTAAAGAGAGGGAGAGCTACATAATATTATTACGATTCCGCGTGAGTTTCTAAGGTTCATATATCCAGACTTCACTCAAAACATATTTCCAGGCAGGACAGTGAAACAGCAAGCACTTCAAGAAGTAGGCGTATCAATCGGTAATGACTGAAAATTCAGGTCCGTATTCACGTCTCTCCCCTACCTGTTAAGGGACCCCTAACTCGAGAAAGTTAGGGACCCCTTAGATGTTCCGTATTCACGTTCCTCCCCAAGCTAAGGGATCCTTAAACAAAACTCTCTTAATAGAAGATAGGGGGCTTCCAGTTTTCCCTTGCTCCAGTTTCAGTTTTCTAGTTTTCCAGTTGGAAACCATTCCAGTGGACCGGAGCGATTGCTGGTAGTTTGGCAGAGGAAACGCCCTCGTTCTGCTGTTTGCATGCTATACAGATCATATAAAAGATTTAGTGTATTAAAATTCAATCGTTGGCTTGCCTTTTGCTAGATATTGTTTTGATAGCGTTCTTTTAAAATAATAACATATCAACAGCTACTAATACGGAGTTTGCAATAAGGCCCATATTTACGTCACTCTCCCCAGAACAGTATACCGTAACAGTTAGGGGAATCCTAGGTAAGGATTCCCCTAAAAATGGTATTCACATTGGTCTGTTAGGGGGCCCTTAGCTAGGGAATCCTTTAGGGCGCATGCGCTGGAATACTTTCATCTTGGCGGCCTCCTAGCCGCACAAATTCAGAGGATCTGTGCTCATAAATTGATTGTTGCATTTTTTTCCCTCTTGAGTCTAGCACTTTTTGATGACTTTGATACTCAGTTATAGGACTTCCCATGAATTAATGCAAAGGTCAAATGAAAATGTGTCCTACTCGTCTGAAAAAAAATTGTGGTTGATCTTATGAACTCTCGTTGTTTCGTCTAAAGAATTCCGTTGCAATGATTTCCTTCACATTAGCTTAATTACCGGCATAGGCCCAGGCGGGTACTCAACGCTAATACAAAACAAATTATTTATATTTAATTTAAAAATTGCAATTATACTTTTACCTGCCATCAATGTTGCATCGATGATCATTGATGCAACATGTATAACTGGAGTGTCAATCAAATGATAAAATACTCCAAGAGCATGATCCTTATCAACGGTATTAAAAAACGGCCCACTAAGATGAACTAATAATTGACTTTTTCACATTTTATCGCCACTCATGAATAATCGCGATGAACAATTTTTTAAATCCCAAATTTGGAACCCTTTCCTGTAAACTAGCAAGGTAAGTGATTCTTTAGATATTCAGATACTTATAATACGTGTTCACAAGTAGATGCTGATGTATTTAGGTGTGCACCTAAATACCTGAAATTCGGAGCATCCATGTACTGCAGAGTCTCCATGTCTTACCTCGCAAGTAAATGGTGAAGTTTATGAGAAAAAATGAGTATCAAAAATGCAAATTGTAATAAAGCAGTACCAGGAACCGATGGGTTTAGAAGAGCCCTGATTCCAAGTAGTGACAGTTTTCGTGACCACAAGAGTTGAATTAGTGTGTGTGGATGCGGCAGGAATAGGCAGGTCTTTTTTCTCCCCATTTTAAAAATGGGACTTATTATTTTAAGTTGCTTGACCAAGAGGTCGACAGCCAGATAAAGGGTTACCCATGTAGAAATGTTGGATCTTTTTTAACACGTTGACGACCAGCCTATTTTTGCTTGTCCGCCGCGTGGGACCACGTTCTCAACAGTTCCAGAGGGTATTCATTGAAAAAACATCTGCATCCTGGCATCAGGACGCATTGTCGCCAACGTGTTAATGCGACCCATTCCGGGTTGACTAACGCTATAAGTGCGGCCCACTCAAGGTGGAGTAAAGTGTCCGTTAGGCCCTACTCTAAAAAAGTTTGTGGATCACTGATCTATATGGACAGGTAAAAGAATTCGCTGAATCCTACATCAAAACCCAAATTCAAAGACATGAGCCTGACGGGGGGATGCTGCTTTCCGGAAGACTGCAACGAACTCACAGGAATCCGTTAAGAGCGGGTGAAGGCTCCCCTAACTTCTTTACAACTTCCTATATCTCTTAAGTGCGCGTTTAGGGATTCCCTAGCTAAGGGAGAGTCATGAATACGGCCCTCAACCTTTCTTTGTCCTGCATTCTTTTGCTAGAAGTCTATTTGCGTGAAGAAAATTCTCAGATTTTAAACCCAATCTTTGGTTACCATATATCACAGGAAGATGACCACCCATTACTTAAGCATTGTTTTCATTCTATTAAAGAAAGGGAAGTCTGAAATTAGTGAGTCACTCAATAATTACAGTATTTGGAGAAGAAAGATAGGCAACATTGTGATCATGTCGGATGTTGGAAATTAAATGTTTTTAAAGTTCATTTGAAAATGAAATGTTCAAATAATTCTTCACATTTCCAATTCAGGATATCTTTAGAAAGTGGAAAATATAAATTCTCTTCACAACTGAGCTTATTTAATCACTCAACAGGGAGTGATAATCACTCAACATGGGAGAATGCATGCTGCCTACTCGAATGGTCATATATATAGAGTTTCCAAATTTGTAATTTCATCACATCAATGCATATCACGTAAATGTACTAATACGAGTGAAGAATGAGTGGCTGCTTCATTCTGTTCAGTAATATTCTCATTCATTCATAACTTTAGGGATAATGAAAGCTTACAAAAAGGATGCAATGTCCACAAATTCAGTGGGGATTCATGACATGCTTCTCTTAAACCACTTTGCGTGGAGAGACCAAGGTATATCTGACTCTTTCTGATACTGATTTCAAAGGCGCAAGGAACTGTAATGGCACCAAATGTGGAAGGGATATTGGCAACATGAGGGAAAAAGAAAGAACAGATGAGAAACTGGTTTCTGACGGTGACAATGTGGCTGAAGTGATGGGAAAACTCACGTCTTCACTTCATAAGGTTCATTTCTTCGCTCTGCCACGCGCGATCGGTTTTTAACAACGAGGACATATTCGGGATAGATCTCTTGATCGTGGTACTTCACAAATATGCTGGGATAGCTGACATTATTAACTGTTGTGTCGCAGCCACTTGGAGGCATCTTCATTAAGGCATGTCCTCCAGCGCATTTCCCGACCAAAACTCTCACTAGAAGCAAGCATCTCCCCCCATGAAGTGAAGCTGAAGGTGGGGCGTACTTAAGAGAAACATGGGGAGTGTGGGAGAAGTATGTCCCCTGTCCGTATGCCTGGGCACCGCATCTTCCATGATATCGCCAATCCAGATTTTTGGCGCAAATATCCGGGACGTTTTCGTGCCTTGTACCATGCCATAGGTACCTCTCGTTCAACTTCTCCAAATCCCGATCGTGGTGCCTGAGGAAGAGTTCCCGGCAATTCTGGTACATCTCCCAAAAGTACGGATTCTGGACCCTCTCGATGCGATGGACTTCGAGTTTTTGGGGAAGGTACCCGGCCACCCTCTTGTACTCATCGGAGGACTCATCCAGAGCGACCATCATTACCAGCTTGTCATTTGGCATTGGCTCCCAGTGACTGGGGAAGCAAGGATGAGCCTTCTCGGGATCGTTCAAATTGTAACTTGGGGGGCGAATTCCAGGTAATGTAATATCCTCTGGGAAGCCAGTTGTGGCCTGAAAATTCTGCGAAATGTAAGGACAACATGAAGATACTTTCATTAGATAACAAATGTCTTTTTTACAATGTTGCTCCTGGTTTTGCTTAAACAATACTACACTTTTATCGAAAAACCATCCCAAGCCTCGGAATATTTGATCGGTTTTCTCAAAAGCAGTATTTCACTTTCGCAAACTATTTTTTTTAAGTATGATGGCGTCCGGTAAAACAATGCCTGGGGCACTCTATGACAAGAAAAGGTAAAATTATATGTGAAGATTAAAAAAAAATCATACTTTGTTTCGCAGATCAATTTTTAGTTCATTCCATCACTGATGATGGTTTGCATTCGTTTAATGTTACTATCCGCACGGATGGAAATACGTTTAGTTTTATTCTCAGGTGGCTGATTTTTTACAGCTGAATAAGATCACTTTAGTGATTTTGAAAACCAAAAATGAGTGATATTTCAATATTTGGGAACATTTTTTTGACATGATGAGCCATTCATTTTTAGAAATTGGACTTGTTGGGTTCAATGTGGAAATTCCTAATCCACTCCAAAATCGGTTGTCATTTTTACGTTGGTCTTCATGTGAATAATTTATAACTACTCAACTATTAAGTGAAGTAACGATTAAGCCAATGGCTCCACAAGAGTAAAACTTTTTGAAGGTTTCCAGTATTGATTTTTACTGCAACCACTCTATTTCTACACGCGAATCGTCATTGGCCTTCGATTTTGCGATTTGTGTTGATACTTCAGGGGACAAAATAAAGAGGAAAAACTAGCTTTTTGCATCTTACGTATGTTTCCGGAATAACTAAAAGCGGTCAGACATAACTTAAGCAAAAGTTGAAAAGTTTAAGGAGAATTTTGAGGATTTACGTATTGATGGACCTAGAAAATTTTAAATATCGGAAAGTTTTTTTTTCCGTACTCCTAAGATATACAAAATGACCGCTGAACCCCTTTGAGAAAAAGGTATTATTGACTCGTATTTCTTGCTGATTTTCCTTGCGATACATGGTAAATTCAGTTCCTAGGACTGACATCACAAAATTGTATAATAACTATGAAGTACTGAGATCAACTGAAGACAGCTTGATCAGCTGGCATGCTTTTACAAATCATGCCTGCTCAGCAAACACTCTTAGAAAAAGTTTTAGTAAGATATTTTTTTTTAGACAGGAACCGGAAACTATGATAGAAGAAAACCCAGAGTAAGAATCGTGTGGTATCACGCAACTATGAGCAAGGAAGACTGGAGGGAGGAGGGAAATCTGCAAACAGACATGGCATTTATGGAAGTGATGTCCCTTGCTCATACGGAGAAGCAATTTTTCCTCTGACTTGATTATTTTGAGCCTGTATGGTCATGACGTGAAACATGGATTCTCGGATGAGTAGCCATGGCAATACCCTGTCTCTTGATGATCTTTTTCTCCAAGCAATTTGTTATCTGTAATGCATTAGCATTTTTTTCTAATCTCTTACTTGAGGTCTGCATGTGATGGGCATGTTTCGATCTCTTGTGTATTGTCGAATATATATGGAATATATATTCGAAAATACACAATATCATGGAATGCACGGCGGGAAATCATTTTCCCGTATTAGAAATGAATACCGAGTCTCTTCGCAGATCTTCCATTCGAAAATTTCTGCCAAATCTTTCAGGAACGTGAGAACTCGGGATTATTGCTCTTTGTCCTGCAGGAGCATTGACTTCCCATTCTTCTCGAATCCCAAGGACAGGAAAATGAAATACTAATCAGTCGAGACGCCTCGTTGCCTCCGCCCTCGCAAGCATTGATTGGGTGGAGATGGAGAAAAGCCTCCCATTTCTCAAGTGCCGAATTGAACTTATTGATGGGATGAAGTAATGCGCTCATAAGACAGATCTTCCTTTAATATTTGACTATCCAACACAGACTTTGCAAAAATATTTAAACATTCTTTTCTTTTTTGTAGCCTTCATTCCGACCGTCGCTCGAACTCCGTTCGAACGTTGATTCGAAATGTGTTCGAAGCAACTCATTCGAATTATCTTTCATTTTTTAAATCAAGCATGAACTAATACTTCAAGTATTCCTTACGTACTCGGAGGATTCGTATAATTTTTTAATACCTTAGCAACATTTTTTAATACCTTAGCAACCTTTTTTACAGGGCGGGAGGAAGACACAAAAGGTGAATACCGCAGTGGTTTCTCACTGTCCCTATAGGATGGATTGACTTCAGGATCGTTCATCTGGCAGATAAGTTTCAGATTGGGAAATGGCATGAAAGCACACAAAATTTCATTGACAAGAACTGACCTCGCTTGCGAGTAGTTGTTTCTTTCGTGAATGCAACCAAAATGCGCTCCCGAAACCGAACGGATGACAGCCGTGGAACTAGAATTGCGATGGAGCAAAATAAAGAGACAATATTAATGAGGGGGCTTGAAGAAGATCATGAAATTGAATTATGTCACGAAAGGGGAAGAATAACAATTGACAGGATTCCGCAAATCTATCGAAAATTCAGGGAGGAAATACATATTTAATCTGTAGCAGCGTTTCTCTTCACCCCTCAAACCTTTCTGACAAAATTTAACGGGTCTGTTGGGCGTTTGGCCAGGGTACATTTTGTACGCCTGTGCACATATGTAAACATTTCACCAAAAAAATTCACTGAATTCAAACATATCTACTGAAATGTAAACACTTAAGTGGTCATCAATGTCAAATCAACATCGTCACCCACCAAGGGCGGGTGTAAACTGACCTGATTATAAGGTGTTAGATGCTGCATTTCTGGTTGATATGGTGATGGAAACGCAAAATGAACAGGAGGGTCTTTGTATTGATGTAATGTATTTCCCGGCTGCTTGCTTTGAATACGAGGATAATTTTCAAGATCCAGCATATCTTGCACCAAATCCTGGAGGGGGAATCTATAATAATTTATAATGGCCTTCATTAACTTTTCTAGTGATTCCCCTCCTTGTTGCAGAAGGGAATCTGAAGAAACGGTCTCCAACTTAATAAATGGGATTATTGCATTAAATATTAGTTTAAAACAATCATTTTATCGTTTCATTCTAAACAAAAACTCAAAATTCAATTTGATCAGTTGTGAAGTCTAATGCTGCATTTTTAAAATCTGAACTCTGCGATTTTTTACTTCTGAAACACTTGAAAACGTGTTGGATGTAGGAGCAACAATGAGAGAAAGCCGAGATGAGAACACACCATTAGAGTTGTAGCACACCCGTTGCATTCATCGCATTTCTTTCTCAGGTATGATCGGTCGCATTCAGGAAAAATGTCTATCAACATTTCCAGTTGCTCCATCCGTTCCCAAATCTATTAAGGGGGAAGAAATTGAGACATAGTTGAAGCTATTCTGTTAGGAATCTACAGGTGCATGAAAAGTCGTTACATATTTTAGAAATGTAATGGCTTTTGGACTTTTTAGAGTAGATAAACGATTCTGTGCTGAAAGAAACAATTTAATATGGTTTTAAGACTGGATTTTTTTTGTTTGCAGAAACAGAAAAACTGGTGAACTGACCGAGTTATCCGTGGATAGACGCAGCTTCTCCATAGGCACCAGGGCTGGTATCTGGGGAATATGAAGAGGAAAATGCATGGGTATCATCAGATAAGCCAGTGGTGACCAACCAGTGGCCCGCGAGACTCTATTCCCTAATAAATTCCTCTAGGGTTTCCGCAAGATAGTCCCTCGCAATACTAGTGACAGAATATGGCCCAGGATGGCTATGGGAGTGAGCTATGCGGCCCCAGAGATAAAATGATTTGGCTTCACAGAATAAAACA